TAAACGCACGCGGCAGAAAACAGAGACAGCCCGTGGCCCGTGGTTGCCTTAATGAGGTCCAATTACTATCGGATGGGTCACTTAGTATGCGGTACCGATATTCCACGGTGCACCACATTAGTGGGACGGTAGACAAGGAAGGGGAGGGGGGAGGAAACGGAGTTGAGAGGAAAGAGAGACGAGAAGAGCAAGGGTCAACACCCTTCGGAGGGAGAGAACCGCGGTCTAACGAGAGAGACTCCACTGGCTTCGTCCTGTCGTTCGATTCGACTCGTACGAGTTCCCGCGAGCGCACGTGCGCCGAGGAATCCACCGATTGAATATTATTCGCGGTCCTTATCGATCGCTGCCGCCGCGGGAACACCGAAGGACATCGCGATGAAAGCGCAGTCCCCGCTTTGCTCTAACCATTCTCCGCTATTCTTGCCTGACGGCTCAACCTGGCCGCTTGTCGTCTCCGCGAGGTCACCATTTTTCACCCTTTCGCAGCGAGGAAATAATAGATGCTCGAAGAATAAGAAGGAAAAGAAAATCGTTTAAACGTACGGTACAAAGAAATATGCTCTCGATTGTATTAACGTGGATTTGTAGACTCGTCCATTTGCATCGTGTGGTACGTTGGAGGCCGTATTTCATAATGATCGTGACACCTGTATCAATATGTATCACTCTTGTCGGTGGCCTTTTACTATTGAGATACGCGTAATAAAAATTTTCTCCCATTGATCGCTATGCCGTTATTACAAATTGTATCAGGCGCGCATGAAATGTCGTTTTTCTGACAAAGGCTTGAGATATACTGGCAGAATTCCAAAGAAAGTAAATTCGAGGCTGAAGAAAAGTAATACGAAATTCATTCTGGAATAGTGGCTAGATAAATCGAAGGGAACAAACGTTTAGCTCGGTGTTAACTGTCGCACTTGTGTAACGGCGCAGTCGTCACTAGAAACTTTTTTACGAATTACGTGAAATCTGTGCAAAGCTGCACTGACTTTTCCTTACATTACGGCACCGTTCTTACGGCTCGATTTACGAGCCTTTCCCTGGAAAATTATTTATTGAAAATAAACCGCCTCTTGGTTACACGGCTATTTGCATACTGAGCGAAACCTGAGACATTTATGTTTCCACGGGATCGCGAAATGCGGCGAAATTCACGGATAAATTTTCCATCGTTCGTTTGTCTCCGGCTTTCGAAATTTTTTTCCAATTTACGCTTCATCGTAGGTCCTCTTACTTCGGTAAAACTTCCTAAACTTTCTTCCATAAACAAATGTGGAAATAGAAAGTACTAATTTCTCACAGTGGAATGGAAAGTTAAAAAAAAAAGAATTATTAAACCGTCGGTCAGTTACTAATTTCTATATCAAAGCTTGTTTCGGATATTAAAACTTAAAGTTTGTCAAGAGTCGATCAGAAATAGAGTCGATAGGAAAGAGAGTGAAACGTTTCGATTATCAGCCGTATGGTACACGAGAAAAAGTTTCCGCCATGTGTCACGTTTTCGAAGACAATCGCGTTATGCCCACGAAACCGTTCTCGAAGGAGGACGATCTGAGATAATCGATTAGTCGCGCTCGATTCTCTCGTCCACTTATGGATTCGAGCCGGGCGAGCGTTTTTCGCATCCATCGGAATGGGACTTTCTCACCTTCCTCGCTGATAGTCCGACGTGTACGTGCCTGTTGTTCCCTGTCGCGATTCGACACGGCTTATTAAACTTCCCGCCTTTTTAAATCGGAGTGAACGCGATGAGGCGCGACTTCGAGCCGATACCGGAGACCATAGATTGCCGTTAATTCGATCTTTCGCCGGTGATTTTAACGAGTAGGTGAAGCGCCAATTTATCGTCCAATCACATTTTCTTATTTTCCGGATTAATATTCACAGTGCTGTTTTAAAATCTTGATTCCTATCGAATAATTTTTTTAACGCTACAAAGACAGTTCGTAAGTGAACACGAATTTCGTAAGTTCAATTTCCTTGTTTTAACGCGATTTAACTTTCTTCTTTGTATATGTTATTTCCCGTAATGTCTCTTACGCTATCGATCGAAAGTTAAATAAATAGAAAGACAAAGAAAATTTCTGCTAGTTTTCGTATCGTTATTTACGAAATAACGACGATATTAGCAAAAAATTGCAATATTTATCTAGTATCGACTAAAAAGCGATCGCTCTTTAACCAGATATCGTTACTGTATTTAATTGTCCCGTTTAAGAACAAAATAATTGGATCGGCTATGTATAAGAAGCTGAAGCCCTTCAGTAGCGTAAGCCATCTTACAATCCAGGTTGAAACGATGATTAAACAGATGCCTTACCTTGCACCCCTCGCAGGTGAACGCTCCGAAATGAAAACCGGCGGCCGGCTCGCCACAGACCTTGCACACTTGATTCATCTGCAATTATAGAAATTATGTTATTCGAAGGATAGCGGTGCGTCAGTCAGTTAGCGCGGTTCATCCTTGGCGAGATAAAGAGACGAAGAGGCCGACTCGTATACCAAGCGGGGAGGAGGAGGTTAGTCGTGGAACAGAGAACGGACGAGAGGGAAGAACAGGGCGAGGAAGGGAGAAGGAGGGGTGACGAACCGGTTCTCCGCGTTCGCTTCGATTTTTATTCCTCCCACAATATCTTACGGATGTTCGAATGCTATTTGGATTACCGGGAAGAGGAGAGCTTGAAAAATTATTCTCCCTCCTTCGCGAGCCGCTTTCTTTACGACCATTATCGCCCCTGACACGGTTCAACGTTGCGCTAATGCTTCAGGCATCCTCCACTCACGACGATCGATTTCGTTCGCGTTCTCATCGCGCCTGTCTTTATTCCCGCATTGTTTCGTTCGACGTGATCTTTGACTTCGGTTCGAGTACAGTTTGTATTTGCCCTAGCAGCCTGCGATACGAACTATCGTTTCCATCGCGCCCATTCATCGTCGCTTCTATTTAATAAACGCCCCTTCTCCGTGCGATTCGTCGCGAGATTGACGGAGGACCATTAACAGTTTTTCCGTCAACTCTGGTCGACTCGACCGGAACTTTTTTCTTTTTTTTCACGCACAGATCCGTTGCCAGTAACAACTGTGAGTCGAATCGGAGGACTGTGGCGTTCATAAATCAGCGCTATCTCGGTAAAAGCCATCGCCATCCGCCGGTGCGCGCGACTCGGTGTCAGGGCGATGGTCGCGTTTCTCGGGTAAAACTGGAATAAAATTAGACCATCGATGATCCGATAAGGGAACCTTACCTATGAGGGGCCTCGAACGCACCTGGCTTCCTCTAATGTCGTTATACCACGTTTATCTCGGCCAAAGATGGCTGGCTCAAATCATTCGACCGACACGCGAGGCCTTGCGAAACACACCGAACCGAGCGTTTTCTAATATACCGGCTGAAAAAGGTTTAATTACATAATTGTGACTAGCTTTTTGAAATTCAACGGGGATGTCGAAGTTTCCAATTCGAGAGAATTATTCAGGCCTCTCCCGGAGAACCGTGTGTCGTTCCTCAAAAAATGACTATATTCGGAAGAACCATGGAAAACACGATTGCCTTTAAACAGTCGATCCTTTTTTAAACGTTTCTGTACCACGATTGATTCACGACCAACGTCAGTGGAGGATTATACTGGCAACCATTCGATAACAAGAAATCTGGTATCGCGGTGAAGAGCATTGTATCGCAATAACGAAGGGTAGTTAATCTCGGCAAAGACGCGTTTTTGCGGCCAGCTCGTCTTAACGAGAATTCAAAGTGAGCGTAATTAGAGTCTAGCCGCGACAC